AAAATGAGAAGAGAAACACTTTATACTGAAGGTATCACAGGTTTTTATTTATTGTTGTTGTTCTATCAAGAAGATTATTATTTGTTGTTCTATCAAGAAGATTATCATAAGCAGGCATTTAAAAATAAGGTTCCCATTTCTATGAATAATGTTAGTATTCTGGTCCTTGATTTAATTACATATTCTGTGATACTTAATTTTTGAAGGATAAATACAATATTTAATTTTTAAAAGTAAAAATGACTCTTTGAAAGAAGAGTGCCCCATGAGCATCATAGGAGAAAATATCAGGTATAATTCTCCTTCCAGATGGTGCCCCTACAGGTGAGGCAGTAGCCTGTGAAATTACAATGTGAATTACACTACAGAGGACCAGGGCATTTGGAGCAAGGCTTTCTGATATTCGTAATAAATGACTTGGTTCAGAACCAAGGACAATTCCCAGAAACTTAAAGGCTGTTCTATCACATTGGGAGCCTATAGTAAAATGAAGTTTAGCAAACTGGAAAGATGAGGAAAAGCACAATAACCATTAGCAATACATTTAGGACTCTTTTCATCTGTGATAGTCTTAGCTAGGTATATCAGTTTATCTCATAATAACTTATATTAGTTCTTCACATATTCTAGTATATACATTGATTTTCTAATATTTTCACTGTGGATGATGGAAAAGAGCTACTTTTCTTTCAGGTATCACTCTGAAAGATTCTTAATTGCATACTTGTACATTCTAATCTTAGTATGTTCTGTAGGAAATTTTTCATTTTGAAACACTTGAGTCCTAAATTACAAATGTAGTCTAATGCAAATACTGAATCTTATTTACAATCAGGCAAATCAATTTAAGAAGGCATATAAAAGTAGTGATCCAGATCTTGAGCTCTGCAGTAAGGCCAAGGTTCAAATTCTGCTTTATTCACTCATGTTTGTTTGAAAATAAGCTATTTTGTAGGTGTTAATTTTTGAGGAGAGGAGGCTACTGGGGATTGAACCCAGGGGTGCTTTACCATTGAGTTACATCCCCAATCCTTTTTGCTTTTTATTTTAAAACTGGGTCTTATTAAGTTGCTTAGCACCTTGATAAGTTGTTGAGGCCGGCCTCAAACTTGTAATCTTTCCTCTAGGATTACAGGCATGGGCTACCAGGCCCAGCCAGGTCTTAATTTATTTAACATTTCTAAATCTTAGTTTTCTCATCAATGAAATGTAAATAAGAAAATGTACTTTGGGGGAGAATTAAATGCGATAATTCTTACAGAGTCCTAACAACTATCAACACTTCAACAATTTGAGAGTTTTAGTTTTAGAAAACAAAGCATCATTTTAAAATAACTAATTTGAATTTGTACCAGAAAAAAATTTTGAAGCACTGTTTCATTATGATGAATATTATACAGTTTTAACTCTTAATCATTTATTCATTCAAAAATTACTTACTGAGTTCCTGTATGTACCAGTCACATTTCCAGCCCTCAGGAATATAGCTTCATATTATACAAAGTCCTTGCACTTCTTGGAGCCTATTATTTTAGTGAGGAAACAGAATAAACACACAAATAAAAGTTTTAATATTTTTATTCATAAGTATTATGATAAAATTGGCAACGAAATGGACCTTAATGGGAAAAGAAGAGAATATTTTACAAAGATCATCAGAGAAATACTTTCTGATGAAGTTAACAGTTGAACACATACCTGAACACCAGTTTAAACAAATAATCAGTAAAATTGTTAGTCATTGAGTTTTAAATAATGTAGCATATCTCCTAAATATGAAGAAATGTGTATTCTTGTTTTGACGAAATATTTTTTCCATTGATTTGCTAGCTTCAACACAATAGGAGCCTCTTCATATGCAAACAATATCTTGCTATCAGAATGAAAAATATATTAGAAATAAAGAAGAATATTGTTTTTAATGATACACCAATGAAGAGAGGAAAGAAGTGGCAAAAAATGGGAAAAGGTGAAAAGTACTTGCTTTAGCCATCTATCCATTTCAGCCCCAACTCTAACCCATAGTCACTGACCCAATATGGTAACTTACAAAAATTAAATACATGTCTTGTGGTTTTTCATAGGTTTTATGTGTTAACTGTGTACCAGGTGCTATGCTGAATCCTTTACGTATATCAACAAAGGCATTTGACTATTTGCTTTTAGAAAAACTCTGACCTAATAATGACTGACTGGAAGATGAAATGCAAAGACATGGCCCTTATGGGAGGCTATTTTTTCACTTGGGCATGGTTATCTTCTGTCTCACTGTTGAATTTTGCAGCAGTGGAAATTGAATCAAATCAATGTTTAAGTCAGAACTCTTGAATACTGTTTTGTGAGGGGAAGTAAATATTTTCCAGTATTATTTACCAACTGTATGGCTTAAAGTAAATTAATCTAACACTTGTTTCTATCATACTTAGATACTTTGAACTTTAGAAAAATTAGGTTAAATGGTTAGAACTTTAGTAACTGTCTCTAACATTGTCTGATCAGGATTCTAATCTTGGCTAAAGATAATCATCATGGGGTGTGTGGAAAGGTGCCTATTCGTATTTATTATTTCAAATGGAAGCAGACATGGGAAAGTCTTAAATATACATACCAAAATTGAGAATATGATTTTTGCCCCTGGGGGAAAACATGCCTGTGATTATCTTTGTGGGAAGAATCTGAAACTCGGAATTAGCATTAATTTGCCCAATTTGGTCGAATCATTTTTATTGCACTTTAAAATATTTTCAGTTGTAAAAGAATTTTGAGTGGTGTTATATTTTCTGCACACACAGATACATAATCTAGGCTGGTCTAGAAAAATAACTGAATAAAGAAAATGTCAGCGGCTCAGGAGACTAAGGCAGGAGAAATGCAAGTTCAAAGCCAGCCTTAGCAACTTAGGGACGTCCTAAACAACTTAGTGAAACCCTGTTTCAAAATAAAAATGGTCTGGGGATGTTGCTCAGTTATTAAGCACCCCTTGGTTCAATCCCTGGCACACCCCACTTCACCAAATGTATTTTGATAGACTCCTGAAAAAAACAAACAGAATTTGAGTCCTAACTCATGGGTTGTAGTATGCAACTGTTAATGAAAATTAATGTTATGTGATTCTGGACAGACTAGCAAGTCTTTATTCTATCTCATTAAACATAATTTTAAAATTCTGATTAGTCCTTTAGAAATCTATATTTTAAATATATTTTTAAATTTATTCAGCTAAGATTACTCCAAACCATTTTGCACAAACTAACATTTTAATCCTTGTAACCTCCCGTGAAATCAAATATCATTGTTGCTTTACACATGAGGAAAACTGAGACACAATGATATTAACTTGTCCAAAGTCATGTAGAGAGAGGGGCTTATCTGGGATTTAAATCCAGAAGTCTTATTAACCACTGTCTCTAGTCCTGACTATATTATCAATTTAAAATACAATATAATTTAATCTCTGGTGAGTATCCAATAAAAACTTTTTATGCAGTAATTCAAGATGTTTCCAGATGGAGTTTTCATTTATTGATTCAAGAACTTTTTTTGGTTTATTTGTAATACATGGAAGTAAGATGGAGTTTGAGCATATGGAAATAAAATACTTCACCTTTGCTAATTACTTGAAAGCACAATACTAGAAAATAGTTTCACACAGTTCCAAACCAAACTGTTCTTTTCCTCATTCCAAAAAGATTGGCCTTTAATGAATATTTTCTTTGTTTCAAAGTATAAATTTTATTTTAACATTTTATAATCTATCATTCTTGCAAATAAGAACCATTTTTTTCCACCCAGTTGACATGTTTTAACAGTTGATCCCTTTACCATAGGTTGAATTAATGCTCCCTCTTGTAATAATTTCTTGGCATAAATTTAATTCACTTTAATCAGAGGATGGATGCCTATTCATAAACATTTCTGTGTATACTTATGCATAAGTGAAGTCAAATTGGTAAAGATTTCTTAGTTGAATTCACAAATCCCTTGTTTTAGTACTCACATCATATGGGAACTTTTAAAAAGTTTAACATATTGCTGAAGTACTCAATTCAGAAAATATTTCTGCCAAATCCTTAATTTTCCTAATGTGAACACATCAATAACTGAGCTTTATTGCTAAGTCTTTGTGTGTAGGCAGTTATTTTCAATGATCTATATTTCAGGTAACACTAATTCCGCAAGATGTTGATAGATGTAAAAAAGTGAGTGACATTTGGTTAAAATATGTTCCACAGTTCTGTTTATCACATCACTAATTAGAACTTTTAGTGTGTTGATGTGCATTATGGGTCTCTTAAGAGGAAATATGGCATCTAGTGTTTCTCAGACATCTTTGAATAAGGGGATCCCCACCACCACCTTTGTTTTTTAATTACAGAAAAAAATAATTGGACAGGAAATACATTGAGAAATTGTGCTCCACACTAGGATTTTTTTTTTTAACCCTTGTACCAAGAAGTTCCTTGTTGTGGGGGCCAGTCTTATGCATTGTGGTACATTTATCAGCATCTCTTAGCTCTACCCAGTAGCTCTTCCAACCCCTGTCCTCAGTTGTGACAGTCCAAAACATTTCCAGACTTTGCTGGATATAGGAAGACAAAATGTAGTTGAGAATCATTGCTTATGATTAATATTGCAACATTTCAGGGAGTTTAGGAATTGTTAACAATTTCTATCTACAATTTTCCTCTTATTGAGGTAGAAACAGTTTGATAAATGGGACCACTTGTAAAGAAGCTTCAGTTTGATCTACCATAATGAGATTTCTAGGTTCACCTTACATCATGACCTGATTTTCTAATAAAGTAATATGTGAAGAAGTTACAAACAATAATTTCAGACTTTGTAGAATATTGTATGATTGACAAATATTATATATATATATATATATATATATATATATTTTTTTTTTTTTTTTTTTAAGAGTAATCCAGATATTTGAATTGATTCATTTAAGAGGATACTATCTATTTCTAAAGTCCGTCTTTTCCTGTTTCATGCAGGGCTATTTTCTTCTTTTTGAATCTATGTTGGATTCTGTCCTTTATGCAAAGAACAAATACTTGGCAAAAGGAGGATCGGGTGAGTATAAAATTTCAGTTTTAATAATCTAAGTTTAGTCTAATAGAACCAAATGAACCTTTGAATTTCAAATAAACTATGCCTGGCTGAGAAAGTTCCCAGTAGAGATGAAAGATATTTCCATTAGAAGTGTTAAGATATTGTTGAAGTAGAACATTATATAAGATATGCAGGATTCCAAGTTAATGGTATTTTGAAGAAGACTTTTTATTATATGGTTTTTAAAACATAAGGACTAGGTTCTGGGAGTTTTTTAATATTCAAGTCAAAATCTAGTAGAAATGCCTTTACATTTTTAATCTTCATGTCATTAAGTTCCTTTTTCCAATAGCATATTTCATACAAAGTTGGAGATTATTTATTTTAATGTCAGATTTCCATGATTTCACTAAATACACAGCCTTGCTTCTCTGTGATTTAATGAAAACATTTAAATAGTGACTGGTTTCTAATAAGTTTTAAAACACCTCATATCCAATAAGTATATAAATAAATCCCTATACATTTGGAAGGCTTTCATGTCTGTAGAAAATATTTTTCATAGTAACTCTACACATACAGAAGATTGTGTTTTTGCAGGCCTCTGCTTGAACAAATGTTTTCTTTAAGAGAAGGGATTATGTTTTGTTTATCTTCATCTCTTGAGCAGACTCCATAGCTTCTAGAACACATAACAGTGTACATCTTCATTGGTTTGAATCATTAAAACTGAATTGACCCCGCACCAGTCTACTTGGGATCCAGGCTCGCAGTAGGCCTCATCTATCCCCTCCAGCGGGTGTCCTGCTGGACCCTAGCCTCGGGTACAGGACCACCCCTTCCAGCCAGCAGACTACCTCAGGACGTCAAGATCAGCAGCCCAGATCTGCCCACACCGGCCTGCTCACAGTAGGCCCAGGTCCATCCCTCCACCTGCAGACACCCACCGGAGCCCAGCCTCCGGCACCTAGCCTCCAACATAGGACCCCCTCTTCTGACCACTGTGGGAACCCAGGCACACACTGACTTGCGCTGGACCCAGGTCCAGGGTAGGTCCAAGTTCACACACCCCCCAACCCTGGGAGCCTAAGCCTAACCAACTTCCGTCTTAGGACACTGCAGTCATCATTACAGCGTTCCCCACACAATAGCCCCTAACTTTTTGACAACAGACAGGGCCTAGAAGCAGCTGTATCTCAGAGCAGGCATCCCAAAGAGGGTATGAGGCCCACCCTTTCAGCCCCATATCTGTAAGACATTGCTTCCATCTTGGAGCACCTCAACTATTATCTTGAATTACCTCTGCTATTGTTGCCACCACCTAAGTAGCATACATGGATGGACGCCAGCAGGGTCTGGAAGACCAACATCAAGGTGAAGTACAAACAATCTGCATGGGTACTATAAGAATATAGGGTAGAAACTGTAATATCTCAGACCCACATTGCAAGAAAGGAAGACCCATAGACAACATGAAAAAACAAGGGAGAAAAGTGCCCCAAACAAACCAGGATCATACAATAACAGAACCCCTACAGATTTAATGTATTCCAATGACATTCCTCATAGAAATAGAAAAAGCAGTCATGAAATTCATCTGGAAAAAGAAGAGACCCAGAATATCTACAGCAATCCTTAGCAGGAAGAGTGAAGCAGGTGGCATCACTATACCAGACCATAAACTATACTACAGAGCAGTAGTAACAAAAACATCACGATATTGGCACCAACAGACTGGTAGACCAATGGTACAAATAGAGGACACAGAGACTAACCCACAAAACTACAATTATCTTATATTAGACAAAGATACGAAAAACATGCATTGGAGAAAAGATAGCCTCTTCAACAAATGGTGCTGGGAAAACTGGAAATCCATATGCAACAAAATGAAATTAAACTTGTATCTCTCACTATGCACAAAACTCAACTCAAAATGGATCATGGACCAAGGAATAAAATCATACACCCTACGTCTAATAGAAAAAAAAGTAGGCCCTCATCTCCATCACGTGGGATTAGGCCCCAAGTTCCTGTCTTACAATAAAAAATAGGGCTGGAGGTATAGACCAGTAGTAGGGTGCTAGCATGCACAAAACTCTAGGTTTCATCCCGAATAACACACACACATACGCACGGTTAACGGAAAGTAATAGGAAAGGGACATGTTGAACTAGTGATAAAGCACCTGACTATAGCCTTCTGCCCATCAATAGACTACAAAATTGCTTGAGCAATTATGATATAGTTAAAAATCAATACTGTCAAAACATTACTTGGTAAAAGTAACAGAAATTCTCCAGAACAATGGGTTTCTTTTTATAATACCATTTAAATTGGTTGACTTTTTATTTCCACAACAAACCCATTTTACCACATTTTCTGTAATTATATCAAGATAGGTTCCTGATCTCTGCCATGAATGTGACTAGAACTTTTAGATAATTTTACTCTATAAAAATTGGCTATGTATTTGTAAAATTATAGTGATTTTTTAAAAATAAACATTAAAAAATATCTGTTTACCAGCTGTCCAGTAATATACTTTTGTTTAGGTTATTAGATGTAATCTCACAAACAGCCCTTCGGGATTTTAGAAACAATCTCTAAAGGTGTCCTAGATAATACATATTAGGTGGCGAAGTCTTTTTTTTTTTTTATTCTTTTTAACTCAGAACTCCGTGACTCTAATATCCATGTTCTTTTCACCTTAATTTTGTTATATCCTACTAAAGTGCTTTTGTTTAATTTGACTCTTGCTATGAAGTTCTAGGGAAAATTCAGATAACTGTTTCCATCCCCCCCAAATGGTATTCATTGATCTTACTGAAGAACTGACAGCAATGTAATGCATTTAAATTGAATTCTCGTTGAAATTCATTAAGAACCTACAGCAATGTGAACCATGGCAGAGCTATTTCCCATTATCAGAGGGATGAAAAGGAGGCTTGTGAGTCTAGTTCATTCTAATTTTTCTATAGCTAATATTAGTGTTAAGATGATCTGGAGCTATATTAGACGAGGTTGGCATTTAACTGCTTGAAAAGTATTGTTGAATGTTATTTGCTAACAAAAGAGAAATCAGAAATGAGTAACTTGAAATGGTTTAACCTCTTTGTACAAGTCTTGATGAATCACCATCATTTAAATGCTCATTCTTTTTTTGCAAAGTTTTTCTTTATGTTTTTTTGAAGGAAAGATTCACTAAGAAATTAGTAGTGGAAAGATTTTTATAAAAAGAATGATTGTACTTTGAGAGAGAGAGAGAATATCGAAGGCCCATATAAACATGTGGGACCATAATTTACTTTTACAAGCATTTAGGTTCGATTTATGTCGGTATACCCCCTCTTTTTTCTCTCTCTCTCTTTCTATACCCATACTAACACACACACACACACACACACACACACACACAGAGGCATGGAGTAAAGACTTTATAAACATAATCACCCATTAATTTTTTTTTTGGTGGCAAAAGACAATTTATATTCTTGATTTTTAAAAAAATAAGAATGCTACCTTTTGTGATATATATTTATCAAAAGTATAAAGTAAACTTAGCTCCTCCTCCCTGATATCAGCAAGAAATTCCATAGCACTTTAGAGAATGTAGTCATTTACTACTGTTACTAATAATAATTTTGGAAACTCGATGATAGCAAGTTTACTAAAGTCTGCTTCTTGTATTTTTTCCTTAAATTTGCTAATCGTTAAATATATGTCAGAAATTGTAGTATTTTACATTAATCCAACTGAAAGGTAGGCAGGAAAATTAGCCAGACATAGTGGAACATGCCTATAATTCCAGTGAGTCAGGAGGCTGAGGCAGGAGGATCACAAGTTCCAGCTAGCCTCAGCAACTTAGTAAGACCCTGCCTCAAAAAATTAAAAAAGGGAGTGGGGAGGCACAGTGCTATGGAGGCTTGCTGGAAATGTAGCTCAGTGGTAAAGTTCTCCTGGGTTCAATCTCAAGTACCACAAAACAGGAAAAATGTTTGATTGTGACCAATGGTACTTTTACATCTAGAATTGAAACTAAAACAAATGTATATTTTAGGATGACAACATAGAATGTGAATATTTAACACCCTAACAGCCTCAAATACCACATCTCACTAAAATTAGAAAGGGAATGAAGGAGGCAGGTGGGAGGAAGTGTTTATAATGCCAGTGCTTTGTCTTTTGAGTGACAGGTTATGATGGTAATTAAACAAGCTATATGTATTTATGAATGTGTATATGCCAAAGAATTAGTTTTGCTGCGTGTTTTTTAAAAAGTGACTTAAAAAAAAATAAACTGGGGGTCTGGGGTTATATAACGCTCAGTGGTAGAGCGCTTGCCTCGCACATGTGAGGCACCAGGTTCGATCCTCAGCACCACATAAAAATAAATAAAGATATTGTGTCCATCTTTTTAAAAAAATCTTTAAAAAATAAACAGACTGGTAGTTCCTACCTCCTTCAGGTGAAATAAATTATGGCATTTGATTCCTAACTTTTCTGAAAAGCAGTTCATAGTATTTACTAACTCTATGCCAACCTTCTGTATTGGTTGTTGTATCATTAGTACAATTTTGTAAACTATAAAAAAAATAGTAATTGGGTGTTAAAATGAAAATGAAATATACTATTTTTATTATTATTCATGGTAGGAGAATAGTAAATAGTGATATATAGAGAGAGAACTAAAGATGTAATGTAAGTTTATAATTATAAAGTAAGCTACTAGAACAAAAATAACTTCCTATATGTAATGAATAGTACACAGGGAAAGGACATGTACAAAGCAGTGTACATGCTTACCTAGCATGATTGATACTGGGTTCATTTCCTCAGCACTGCAAAAAAAAAAAAAAAGATTAGAAAATGGTAGTCATGAACAAAGGAATAAATCCAAATAGCTATTAAAAGAAAAAGGATACTAAAATTAGACTGATGCAAAAGAGATTATTAGCATGTCTCTGTGCAAGGATGGCACACTTGCACTCACCAAAAAAAAGAATTTTTTTTACATTGAA